TTCAAAGCAGATATTGTGAATTATCTGCCTTGATATTCTGGGTCATATGGCTGTGTGGAAGGGCCCCGAGTCACCTGCTGACCCCATGAATTCCATAGTGTTTCCTTAGGCAAGGAATACTCACAAGGTGGTTTTGCCAGTTCCCTCCTCTGAAATACTTCAATAGGCTACACTTGGTTCTCAGTTGGCAGCTTGTCATCCAAGAACAAACCAGAGCTGACTGTACTTGGCTTCCAAGATGAAATGGAACACACTCCTTAAAAATGTTCAAAGGACCCGTCTAGACCAGCGGTTCCCACCAGTGGTCCACAGGATCTAAAATATGGTCCATGGCCTGACCATTACTACACTGTTGCCTTGAAACCATGTGGCAACGAGAGTGACTAGTATCGCGAAACCCTCTTATAGTGTCGAGGTAAGGGGATGTCAGGAGAGGAGAGGCTTATTACCCACAAAAGATTAACTATCACATCAGCTCTAGATTATTAAATATGGTTTTCTGAGAGCAAGCAGATGGTGACTACTGGATGGCATACGAGAGCTGATGTGCTCTACCCAATGCAGTTTTCCGAATCAGCGCCCCAAATAACCAAACTGAATCTAAAGTTGGTGATAGTATGATAGCTGGGTCCAGAAGCTCTGAGCGTTACGCACATTCCGCAACAGTGGTTGTGAATAAGGGAAGGGGAGAGTGGCACACTGAGGGTGGGAATATACTTCGTAGTTGCATTTGGTGGAAGGATAGAAAGGAGGGGAGGCTTAGGGTTAAGATCAGGGGTTAGGTTTAAGTTTAGGGTTTGGCTTAGGGCTAGGATTCGGGTTTGGATTAGGATTTAAGGGTTAGGCTTAGGGTAAGGGTTAAGGGTTTACCATTAAAGAACTCTTACATTTCTTCTATAATATCTGTGTTTCGTTCTGCGTTGCGCAAACAGTGCTCCCAAAGGAGCAAAACGGAAACATTGTAATGCACAGAGCTTCCGGACCCAGCTTTCATACTATTACTCTCGTAATAGTATAGTATAGTAGTAATAGTATCACCCTAGTAATACTAGTATTATTATTACCCTAGTAATAGCATAGTATAGTAGTAATAGTATTACCCTAGTCACACTCAGAGCTTCCAGGGTAAGATTTAGGGTTAGGCTTAGGGCTAGGATTTGGGTTCGGTTAGGATTAGGGTTAAGGGTTAGGTTTAGGGTAAGGGTTATACCATTAAAGAACCCTTATATTTCTTCCATAATATCTGTGTTCCGTTCTGTGTTGCGCAAACAGTGCTCCCGAAGAAGCGAAACAGAAACAGCGTAATGCTCAGAGCTTCTGGACCCAGCTTTCATACTACTACCCTAAAGTTGACCACAACTAATTCATAAACCTTTTGGTACTAATGTTAGAGAGTGGTTGTCAAAAACAAAAAAAAAGATTGGGAACCACTGATCTAGACCAATGACTTAACACAGTTCAAAACTAGAGTCAAACTGCTGGGGCCGAACAACAGACTCTCACGAGTTTGTGTAATCGCTCTCTAGGCCTCAAACTGTTTCCAGGGCTTCCTGGCAAAACAGACAAGTGGGTTGTTGTAGGTTTTTTCGGGCTATATGGCCATGTTCTGGAGGCGTTCTCTCCTGACGTTTCGCCTGCATTTATGGCATTTCTCAACCTGGTGGTGAAGACCCCTGGAGGGGTCACCAGGGGGTGTCAGAGGGGTCGCCAAAGGCCATCAGAAAACACAGTATGTTCTGTTGGTCATGAGGGTTCTGTGTGGGAAGTTTGGCCCAATTCTATCCTTGGTGGGGTTCATAATGCTCTTTGATTGTAGGTGAACTATATACATCCCAGTAACTACAACTCCCAAATATCAAGGTCTATTTCCTCCAAACTCCACCAGTGTTTACATTTGGGCATATGGAGTATTCGTGCCAAGTTTGGTCCAGATCCATCATTGTTTGAGTCCACACTGCTCTCTGGATATAGGTGAACTACAACTCTAAAACTCCAGGTCAGTGCCCACCAAACTCTTCTAGTATTTTCTGTTGGTCATGGGAGTAATGTGTGCTAAAATTGTTTCAATTACATCATTAGTGGAGTTCAGAATGCTCTTTAATTGTAGGTGGACTATAAATCCCAGCAACTACAACTCCCAAATGACAAAAATCAACTACAGCTCTCAAATGCCAAATTTGGTCCAGTGGATGAAAATACATCCTGCATATCAGATACCTACATTACGACTTGTAACAGTTGTGAAATTACAGTTATGAAGTAGCAACAAAAATAATGTTATGGTTGGGGGTCACCACAACATGAGGAACTGTATTAAGGGGTCTAGGCATTAGGAAGGTTGAGAACCACTGATCTATGGCAAGCATCCTCAGAGGTATGCTTGCCATAGATGCAGGCGAAACATCAGGAGAGAATGCCTCTAGAACATGGCCATATAGCCTGAAAAAACCTACAACAACTCATTGATTCCAGCCATGAAAGCCTTCGACAATACATTAAAACAGACAAGGCTACAGACCAGGCATGGGCCAAGTTGGGCCTTCCCTCAAGGTGTTTTGGACTTCAACTCCCACCATTCCTAAGAGTCTCATGCCCTTTCCTTTTCCCGCTCAGCTGCTTAAGCGGCTAAGGGGGGAAAGGAAGGGGCATGAGGCTGTTAGAATGATGGGAGCTGAAGTCCTAAATACCTTGAGGGAAGGCCCAACTTGGCCCACGCCTGGTGTAGATGCACCCACTGGGGAAACAAAACACCCTAGAATCATAGAATCAAAGAGTGGCTACCTCTCACATATTTATGCATGGCTATCATATTATTATTATTATTATTACTTTATTTGTATACTGCAGTTTCTCAGCCCGTAGGCGACTCAACGCGGTTAACAACAAGAGGAAAGATTCAATGCTAACAACATACACTATTTAAAAACACTTAACACATAGTATACTATTAGTTATACATCAATAATATCTCCTCTCAGCCTTCTCTTCTTCAGGCTAAACATGCCCAGCTCCTTAAGCCGCTCCTCATAGGGCTTGTTCTCCAGACCTTGATCATTTTAGTCGCCTTCCTCTGGACACATTCCAGCTTGTCAATATCTCTCTTGAATTGTGGTGCCCAGAATTGGACACAATATTCCAGGTGTGGTCTAACCAAAGCGGAATAGAGGGGTAGCATGACTTCCCTAGATCTAGACACTATGCTCCTATTGATGCAGGCCAAAATCCCATTGGCTATTTTTGCCGCCACATCACATTGTTGGCTCATGTTTAACTTGTTGTCCACGAGGACTCCAAGATCTTTTTCACACGTACTGCTCTCAAGCCAGGCATCCCCCATTCTGTATCTTTGCATTTCGTTTTTCCTGCCAAAGTGGAGTATCTTGCATTTGTCACTGTTGAACTTCATTTTGTTAGTTTTGGCCCATCTCTCTAATCTGTCAAGATCGTTTTGAATCCTGCTCCTGTCCTCTGGAGTATTGGCTATCCCTCCCAATTTGGTGTCGTCTGCAAACTTGATGATCCTGCCTTCTAACCCTTCACCTAAGTCATTAATAAAGATGTTGAACAGATGTTGAACTTCATTTTGTTAGTTTTGGCCCATCTCTCTAATCTGTCAAGATCGTTTTGAATCCTGCTTAAGTGGCTAAGGGGGGAAAGGAAGGGGCCTGAGGCTGTTAGGAATGATGGGCTATAGACAAGGCTATAGACCAGGCATGGGCTAAGTTGGGCCCTCCCTCAAGGTGTTGTGGAGGTCAGCTCCCACCATTCCTAAGAGCCTCATGCCCCTTCCTTTTCCCGCTCAGTTGCTTAAGTGGCTAAGGGGGGTAAGGAAGGGGCCTGAGGCTGTTAGGAATGATGGGAGCTTGAGGGAAATACCGTGAGGGAAGGTCCAAATTGGCCCATGCCTGGTGTAGATGCACCCACTGGGGAAACAAAACACCCTAGAATCATAGAATCAAAGAGTGGCTTCCTCTCACATATTTATACATGGCTATCATATTATTATTATTATTATTATTATTATTATTATTATTATTATTATTACTTTATTTGTATACCGCAGTTTCTCAGCCCGTAGGCGACTCAACGCGGTTAACAACAAGAGGAAAGATTCAATGCTAACAACATACACTATTTAAAAACACTTAACACATAGTATACTATTAGTTATACATCAATAATATCTCCTCTCAGCCTTCTCTTCTTCAGGCTAAACATGCCCAGCTCCTTAAGCCGCTCCTCATAGGGCTTGTTCTCCAGACCCTTGATCATTTTAGTCGCCCTCCTCTGGACACATTCCAGCTTGTCAATATCTCTCTTGAATTGTGGTGCCCAGAATTGGACACAATATTCCAGGTGTGGTCTAACCAAAGCAGAATAGAGGGGTAGCATGACTTCCCTGGACCTAGACACTATGCTCCTATTGATGCAGGCCCTGTCATGCCCTACCCATCATCCACACTCATTATCCTGTGTGGGTTCTTGTTAATGCCATCCAAGGGCAGCCCTATGCCCAACCCAACATTCCTCCATGAGGCAGTAAAGGTCAGCCTCCCCTCCCTCCCTTTCCCGAGGGAAGGAGGATCCTGAGGCAGGACACGCCCTTGCGAGGCCCCGCCCCCTTCCCCTCAGCCCTCGGCCCGCACTGCAGCTCGCTTCAAAGTCGCCTCCTCCTTCGGTCCGCCCGCGAGTGGCCGAGCGGGACGCCAATCTTACCCCGGGGCATCCTGGGAACTGGAGGAAAAAAGGGGGCGAGGGCAGAAAAAAGAACCCCTTTATTTGCCTACACACCAACCCCGAGGGCACTACAAGTCCCACAATGCACTGCTGCCAAGCCCTTTTCCGCAGAGAACCCCTGAGTCTCGCTAAAAATTTGACCGTTGGAAGAGTGGGGGGCCTTGAAAATGCTGCCCTCCCCGAGACACAGAGGTCCCAAAGTGGTGGGGAAGGGGGCAGCCTTGAAAACGCTCGCGCTCGCGCTCTCTCTCTCTCTCACTCACCTGCCGCAGCCGTTGGTGAGGGCGGCGCTCCCAGTCCCGTCCGTCAGTCAGTCAGCGAGTGCGGCACTGTCATGGGGTACTTCCCCGGCTTTGGCCTGGTCTTTCCCGGACCCGCCTGGCGCTCTGCCTCCGGCTGCGGGGGCCGCCCGGGGAGCATCCTCTCCCCCGCCTCCCAAGCTTGGCCTCCTCGGGAAGGGACCGCGGCGGCGGCGGCAGCAGTGGCAGAAGATAGGAGGAGGAGGAGGAGGAGGCGCTGGCGGCGGGATACTCCCACAATGCACCGCGCGCCTAGCAGCATCAGCATCAGCAGCATCAGACTGACATCAGCGCCAGCCGCAGCAGCAGCACCAGCGCTGCCCCGCCCTGGCCTCAGGCGGCGCACGTGCGGGGGCGGCACCAGCAAGGGCCTCGTCCCAAACACTCTTCATTAGAATCATAGAATCAGAGTTGGAAGAAACCTCAAGGGCCATCCAGTCCAACCCCATTTTGCCAAGAAGCAGGAAAATTGCATTCTAAGCACCCCCAAGAGATGGCCATCCAGCCTCTGTTTAAAAGCTTCCAAAGAAGGAGCCTCCACCACACTCCAGGGCAGAGAGTTCCACTGCTGAAAGGCTCTCACAGTCAAAGTTCTTCCTTTTTTATTTTTATTTTTTAATATTTTTTTTATTAACCACAAAAGAAATGCTATATACATAAGAAGAGGTGGAACAATATAGTGAAAGAAAAGTAGGAAATAAAGATGTATAAGTCTTAACAACAACACTGGCTCTTCAGCTTAGAAATGGAGATGAGCACCACACCCCAGAGTCAGACATGACTGGACTTAATGTCAGGGGACTACCTTTACCTTTACCTTTAAGTCTTAACAAAAACTACTTCATTCTTTTCTTTAAGCCAGATTCTTTACAGCAATTCAACTTGTTCTCCTCTTTTTTTTCTAAACACCTAATAATTTTATTACATTTATATTCCCTTCATTACAAAAACAATCTCTATAATTCACATAATTACTTTTTTTCCCTTTCCCCAGTTATGCTACCCCTTGTGCTCCCCATCAGAACATTAGGTACAAGGTACAAGGAAATTTGGAAATTAGCAATAAATGACTAATTAACATGCAATTTAAAGATTAAAAAAGGCCTAAGGAAGGATAATGATTTTGAAAATATATGGAAAATATTTATTGAGGAAACATTAAGGAAAGAAGATGGGAACCAACCCCCACCAGAAGAAATGAGGTTCTGTTGGGAGTATAAAGAAAAGAAGAACTCTGGAGATGGGGAGCACAAGGAAGTTCTTCCTAATGTTCAGATGGAACCTCCTTTCTTGTAGCTTGAAGTAAAGCCTCTGTTACAGGAGCTTGGGCATTGTCCTCCTTGAATATCGGATCATCCGCCAGTAGTTTGGATTGTTTACTTTGAAAATTTATGGCATCGGCTAGTCTTGACATGAAGTCTGAGAAATCTCTGCCATCATCCGGTGGGGGCAGAGGGCAGGCATGTATCCGGGGGGGGGCTTGAGGGGCTTCAGCCCCCCCCCCCAAAAAATTCTCATGGTGGTCCGCGAAGAAGGCCTTACTGGTACATTATTTAAACTTATTTATATCATGATCTGATCACCATACTCAATATATCCCATATGCATGGGGGTATTGGGTAACGATACAAAAGGTTTGCTAGGGTAGACCCTCTTTCACTCAAACTCAGCCCCCCCCCCCCCCCCCCCCCCCCCCCCGAATCAAAATCCTGGCTACAGGCCTGGCGGAGGGTGAGATCTAGGAAGGGAAGTCACATAGCATCGGTGGAGGAGGTCAGACAGCAATAGTCATCAATTTCATTAATTTCATCATTGAGTTCAGTCTTATGTGCAACAGCAGGGGTCCTCAAACGTTTTAAACAGAGAGCCAGGTCACAGTCCCTCAAACTGTTGGAGGGCCGGATTATAATTTGGAAAAAAAATGAATTAATTCCTATGCACTCTGCACATATCTTATTTGTAATGCAAAAAACACTTTAAAACAATACAATAATTAAAATTAAGAACAATTTTAACAAATATAAACTTATTAGTATTTAAATGGGACTTGCTTTTGGCTGATGAGATAGGATTGTTGTTGTTGTTGTTGTGTGCTTTCAAGACTTAGGTTGAACCTGAGCAAGGACCGGGTAAATGACCTTAGAGGGTCATATCCGGCCCCCGGGCCTTAGTTTGAGGACCCCTGTGCAACAGGTCCCATGGTTATCCATGTGTCAGGAACCCATTTATGTTAGGCCTAGGGCAGCCATCAATGTCAAAGTCTTACAGATAGGGGACTTGGACCAGTGCATGCCTGGCATTCTGGGCACTTCATAAGCGGTGTGTCTAGTGCCAACAGAAACCAATCATCTTGATAGCCAAGACGCCACAAAAGCTGTGCTGGAGCAGCAAGAGCCTGAATGTCTGCACTTCAGTGAAGAGTGAGAGGGGGTTCTCTCCAATGACTGCCCAGTGGGGTGGCATTCAAGCAGTTTCAGCTTCTGTCTCTTGCTGGTGCAGAGGGATACCATCGGCGTCTGACTTTCTAGATTGAGGTTGTATAGAAACTTCTTCAACCGTAGGCTGGCGGGATGTCTGGGTTTGCTCTTCAGGAGGTTGCACTTTGACTAGGGGGGAAGGCTCCTGAGGCATCGGTGTGGTCTTGCACTGAAAGCGATTGGACTTGTCCTTTCCAGGCCTATCCAAATTAGCAGCTAGAACCTGAGTTTTTGGCAAAGTTTTGGCCATTGACTTACGCTTCTTGGGACATTTTAGTCTCGTCTGAGTGAGCACATTTGGGCATGGAGAGAGTAGAAGCCTCAGTCAATGGAGGATCGGATTTGGTCTTAGCAATCTTACAAAACCTGGTGGATGGCACAGAGGGGTTTTTGGGAGCTATAGAGATAGAAGAAGGTAACCTTTAAGGATGCTTTCAGGCGTTGCTCTGTTTTTCCTGGCTGCTAGTGTGAAGGTCTGGTAAATCTTGTAGGCTGAGACCACGTACACCTCACTAAGGCAGACTAAGCAGTGAGAAAGGCAATAGTTGTTAGGCATTTTGACCTTACAGTTGCTTATTGTTTAAATGATGCGGTTGAAATTGCTGTGTACTTCTCAGGATCAGGATAGATAGGAATTTTGAGAAATCTGCAAGAGCACAAAAAGAGAAACTAGCCAACTAGCTGAAGAGTGGGACTGGATAGAAGCTCCAATAGCAGAAAGACTGATTTCTAAACTAAAGATTAAACTAATTACTGAAAGGACTATCTAACTAAAGTATTAGGCCTAAGCCTAGCGATTCTAGTGAGCAAAGGTTCTTTCTCTTGCTACAGACATGGTGGAAAGAAGAATACTGAGGCAATGGTAGCACCCGCCTATTATATACCATCGGAATGATGGATGGAGCTACTGCCAAAAAGTATCTTTTAGAGCTCTAGATTCTAGAAGGATCTGAATTGCATTTTACCCATTGACCTGCATTCACAGAGGCCACGAAGAAGAAAGATATATGGCTGAAATTATTTGTTTTTATATGGATTCAAGAATACATCCTTGTTTTTGGTATATTAATAAGATCTGCATGATGTGCAAACATTTGTACAGCGCAGGTTGATTATCACTTATTCAACATGCTTAGGATCAGAAGACTTTTGGAATGGGGGAGAGGGGAGTTTGGAATTCCTGTATTTGTAAATGCCTAAATAATGAGGTATCGTGAAGATGGGATCCAAGTCTAAAACAAGAAATTCATTTCCGTTACGTATAATCCATATGCGTATAGCCTGAAGGTAATTTTATGCAGTATTTTTAATAATTTTGTGTCTGAAAAATGTTTGTATTCAGTGAACCATCAGAAAGCAAAGGTGACACTATCTTAGATTCTCGGGTGGACAGTTTGGGATTTTGGAGTATTTTAGACTATGAAATTCTGTATAAAAAATTATCAGAATGTGGAAATTGCTGATAATGGTGGTTAAACACAGAAAAGTAGGATTTAAATTCCAAAAAATATATAAAATAAGCCAGAGATGTCATCTGAGGATGTAATCAAGGTTAAAAACAAGAATGCGTATTCTTTTAAGAGTTCCAAGTGCTTCTCATTCAATCTTGATTTTTTTTAAAAAATTATTTTCAGACTGATCCAAGATGATAGGCAATTTAAGATCATGGCCCAGAATGTATTCTGTTATTCGTGAAATCCAGCCAAAGGAAGCATTTAAAATATTGGCAGCAACCCAAATTAATCTTCAAAAAAATAGAAATAAAAAAGAATTGCTCTGCAAAACATTTTCTCTATTTGAAACGGCCTTGTAAAAGAAAAGCACAGGTACTCGTTTTCCTATTGTTGCTCTAGTCTGCAGATGACTTTCTGACAAGGATCCAGTGTTACTAACTTACAATTAGCAAGATACTTTACTCTCTTCTCTTTTCTGATTAACTGATTTTGACTTTGTTGTGTGCTTTCAAGTCATTTTTGGCTCATTTTTGGCAATCCTAAGATAACCTATCACAGGTTTTTCTGGGTAATTTTTTTGCCTTTGACTTCCTCTGAGGCTGAGAGAATGTGACCTGCCGTAAGTCACCCAGTGGAAGTTTCTGTGGCCAAGAAGAGATTTAAATCTGGGCCTCCAGAGTCATACTCAAGGACTTAAATCACTATATTCATTCTGACATATTTAGAAGGCCTACTTTATTTATAGTTCTTGCATTGCGATGAGCTGAAAAATGGTACCATTTGCGCACTGAAAAGATATGTGTATTACTGGTAAGTTTGGTAAGACAGGTTTAGATCTATGGGACACAGGAAAACAGGGTACAGAAAAACTCCATTTACCACACCTGAATTAAAACAGTAAAAGTCCACAATTAAAATAAATTAAAATTTGTGTATTTTTACAAAGTTTACTAGTTTCTTATATAGCACTGTTGATGGAATTTTTCTGATTTTTTTTTAAAAATAGAGCCTGGGATCTTAATGATATTACATCATATAACAACTTCTGATTCATGGGATGGGGGGGAGTGGGGCATGCTGGGGGAGGGGGGGGAGTTCCAGCAGTTGAGGGGCCTCCATAGAAGTTATATTGGGGAGGGGGAGATACAGGAACAGGAAACCTAAACAACCCATTCAAACTAGAGAGAGTACTTATAGCACCAAAACAGTCTCCTGAGTACCCAGGATGGCGACCCCTCTAGGTTAAGGGTGGTGCTGTTGAACGCCAGGTCTGTAAACGAGAAAACGGCCATCACCCAGTATCTAATCCTGGAAGAGCGTGCAG